AGAGCAAAGTCTGGCCTGTGTGGCTCTCTTGCCATGCAGTTCTCTATAGGAGTGTGCTTCAGCCAACTTGTATTAGTCGCTCATTCAACACACATTTCCTAAGCATAGTTTTGTGTGCCAGGCATGGTGTTGGGTCTTGGGATAGAGTGAAATGATGAGCTCTCCATCTGTGGCTGCTCAGAGCCCAGCTGAAGCTTAGAGCATCTTGGAAGAAGTGCCACCTGCTAGGCAATCACCAGCAGGGGCGGCCCTCAGCTCAGGGGATTATGTGATGAAAACGTTGTACAATCATCTGTGGCTATGGGCATTTCCTAAGACCTCACGCCGTGCTTGCTGAAACAGGCGGGGTGAAGATGTTCAGGTAATAGTCCACATGGTTAGCAGGGACTATGTAGGACCATGCTGTAGACTCACAGAAACTCCCACGGACTCCTGGGGAGCTATGCACAAAGATGATCCTGCCAATTCGACTGCAGATGCTCTAAGGAGAAGAGGAACCATGGGACCACTGGGGACACAACTTCTGCATCTGCTGCAGGATTTAAAGGTCTGCCTAGACCTTGGAGGCGGAGAGGGGGCAGTCAGTCCCAGCCTTCCACTCTTCCCAGTCCCATTCCTGAGCCCTGATGCCATCAGTACAATGAGCGGTCGTAGACATGGCCATCCTGTGCTGTAAGACTCACTGCTTTCTCCTTCCTCTTCCACTCATTCAGTTACTGTCTGCTGGGTGCTAAGGACACCAGAACTTCAGAAGCTCAGTGACTGTTTACAGTTACTGGAATTCACTCTCCATCCAGTGCTATTTATCTCCGAAGTTTGCTCCTTGCATTTCATATAGCCCTGCACTGGCTTCAGGTCTCCTGTCCCTCAGGATACTCTTGGCAGGTTAAGGAGCTTGAGAACATATGACCAGACACAAACATGACTTGTGCTGCCTTGGCAGCCAGACTCACTGGTTGGACCTCAGCGCCAGATGACATAGGCTGCTGCATGTGTCGGGGAACAGACCACACTCACTGGTGCTGCTGGTTCCCATCAACCTCAGACACACAGTGAAGATCTTATTGGCTGCCTCTGATCTTGGATGTCAGTTACCTCCTGCTTTGGACTTGGGCTTGAACTTGAACTAAATTTCACAGCATCAGCTCTCCTGGGTCTCTCAGCTGCCTTAACATTTGGTAAATCAGAGCAGTTTATGATAAATCCCTTCATTCATACACTCATACACATACACACAGCACATAAATGCACATAAAGGTCTTTCCAAAAGTTCCTAGGAAAATTGAATTAAAAGTTTATATGTCTGTGCAAAAAAATATTTAGTATCCATCAACAGACATTTTATAAACTATGTTTTTTATAAATATTTTTAAGTTCCAGAGTTTAAACTTCCAGCAGCCTCTCGGCTGTTAGTGGGTCTCAGGACGGGGCGTGTCATGCCTGGATCCCAGCCACCAGCCACCATTTGCACGTGGTGAGCTGTCCCTGGGCCTGCCTGAGCTCCAGGGGCTGCTTCCTTAGGGGTGAGTACACCAAGGGGGGAGGTTTCCGTGACTGGGCAGGTCCAGGGCCCACACGCCACCCTCATTGGGCGGTGAAAGGGACTGGGGAGGGGCGCGACCATGGGCCTAGGAGTTTAAACTTCCAGCAGCCTCCTGGCTGCTGGTGGGTCTCAGGACAAGGAGTCTCATGCCTGGATCCCAGACGCCAGCCACCATGTGCACGTGGTGAGCGGTCCACGGGTGGCCAGTGCGCCATTTGTTGCCAGGCTCTGCCTGCTGGCCGCCCGGCCGGGAAGCTCTGGAGTTTTGGTTCTTTGAATCACTGCTTAGGTAGATCCAGGTTGAACCCACTGTGCTTCTAGGACGTGAAGCAATTGCAAAGATTCCCAATGACAGTAATTCTTATTTTGAAAAACTTGTAATCACTGAATAATGCTGACCGCCAAATACCAGTCAATGCTAAAGCGATGGCTCGGTGCTTGTCCAGCAGAATCATATCCTGTTACCTGACATGATGGATAAGGAGAAAGGTCACATTAGGCAGGGCCATTATATTAACTAGCACTTGAGAACCATAACTGGGGGCAGATTCTGTGAGGGATGTGTGGGCAAAACCTTGTGGAAATTCTAGCCCCACTGGTTAGCTCAAGAGATGGGGTGGTGATGGACTAAGCTAGGTGTGACCAAAGAGCCTGCCATGAATCACAGGTAAAGGAACCTCCAACAGTCTGGACTGGTCAGGGCAGCAGCACCCAAAGGCACATCCTGAATAGGGTGTGGGGTGGGCTGGGCTGCAACGTTCACCAGCTCATACAAGGACGAATGGAAGGTAAGACTTTGCCAGAACCTGGCCTAAACCCAATGGCATGTATGAGAACTGGGTCTGGGAGTGGATCAAGTGGAGGAACTTGGGAAACTCCCTTGGTGAGTCATAGCTCCCGCTGGTGAACATGTGGTCCAGACCTGGGGGTTGGACAAGCTGGGCAAATTAGCTCCAACATCTGGCAAATGTGTCAATTGGTAATGGAACAGGGTAGATCAGGCAGGACTGAGCAAACCTTAGCCCAGAAGCAAAACTAGAGACCAGGACAGAGCACAGGTCATGCCGAGCAAGGCTCTTGTACCTACTGGGTGCATGAGCCAGGAACGCTAAGCCAGTGTCTAAGGCAGAGGTCGGGACAGGTGAGGGGCTGAGCCAGGCTGAGTCAGTGCAACCACTGGCATGCAGGCAATCTATGGCTGGGAACAGGCCTGGTTAGGGAGCTAACAGGACAACCCTAGCTGGGTTGAGGTTCCAACCAAGAGGCATGTTGCTTTGAATCGGGGCTGCATTCTGAATGGGAAATCTTTATAGTTTCCCTTGGCACAAGTGAGAACTGGTATTGGATGCACCGAGCCAGGCCAGACTCCAACACCCTCTGGTGTGCTGGAGATCCAGGGCAGATCTGGGATGAACTAGGCAAGATCTCAACCCCTACTGAGCCATGTGTGAGCCATATGTGGGTATGGACAAGCCATGACTGGGCTGAAGCATCCAAGAGCAAGGACCAGTTTGGGTTGAAGGCCAGTCAGGAAAAGCCACTGTTCCTGCTATGACAGGAGGTGGACTGAGTAGGGCTGGCTCATGGACCCACTGGTATGCGTAAAATCTGGCTTTGGAAGAGGTTCTGAGGAGGAGCCTGGGCAACTCCTTTAGCAGGACATAGTCCCTTCAGGTAAGCTCAAGAAACATGATAGGAAACAGCCCAGAACAGGTCATGGAAATTTACCCACTGGCATACATTTGGCAGGGATCAGGGACAGACCAAGCTGAATCTGTTTACATCATCCACTGGCAAATCCAAGCACCAGAACAGAGTGTGGGTCAAGCCAGGTTCAACTGCAACAAAAACCAGTGCACAATACAAAACACCAAGGTGAGGTTGCCTGTACCGGAAGGGACCGCTGCACCCAACCAGCACGGGTGAGAACAAGGAAGGGAGGGGGCAGAGCTGGCAGGGGAATAAGGGGTGGTTCCTTTGCTGGACAGCTATTCCCAATGGAGAGCATGAGCTGGGATGGGGCAGTCCAGACCAAGCAGGGCTACAACACCTGTATGCCTCATGTGGACTAGATCAGGGAAAAGCCAGGCTAGGGTGATTATTCCTACTGGTGCAAACAAAATTAGAGTGGGTGAGGGTTGTTTGGGCTTAGCCACAGCATCAGCTGGCAGAAGCTGGCATTTGGGGCTAGTTCTGTCAAGTCAAAGGCTGCAGCTCCCACTGGTTTATGCGAGGGTTGAGTATGTACTGTGCAGCACTAGGCTGGACTGCAACACCCATTGGTTCCAGTGGAAGTTGGGGCTGAAAACAAAACCAACCCAGCGATTGCAACCACCAGCTGATCAGGGCCATGGACTGTGCCAGGCCTTGTACTTGCTAGCACATACAAGAATCTGGTTTGAGAACACCTCAGACAAAGTTTCTTTGGAGATCTCCCCAATCGAAATGCTGGACTCAGAACCCTAACCAAGAAAAGAGAGAAGACAGAACAGGTCAATCAACCATCTCAGCTACATGTTGGCAGCGAAATACGGGGCAAACAGAGACTCTATGATGGACTATGACAATCAGTGGATTCTTCGGTGACCTCATCGTGCTTGGAGTGGCAAGTCTGGCAGTGATTCAGAACTGGTGAACTATCAAAACCACTTGAGCAAGAACTTCGGAGCATACCCTACATCTGGGACCTGGGGAGGGTGGGAAATTGGGTGGGCCTTTTCCCTTAATACTCCTCTTTAAACATAAAGGAAACAATATGGAAATAATAGTCTTATCCATTTTCCTATAGCCCTTGAACCTCTTTACCCTAATTAACTATGTAAAGATTGTCAAAAATATAAATTAAAAATGCTTTTAAGTTCCAATGAATGACCTCTCTTAATTTGTCCCATGTGTCTGGTGACCAGTGAATGTTACAGTTTGATTACTTCTAAGCAGGCTACTAATAGAGAAACCATATATTGGGTCAGTACAAATTAGGGAAATCACACAGTGTGTGGTCACAGAATAGCAGCAGGTATTTCTCAGAAAAAAAAGCCGCAAGGGTAAGAACATGATACATGAGGAAATTCATATGCATTACAACAGGCACACGGGACTCAGCATGAGGGCATGGTTAGTGGCCCACTCCACTGGAGGGCAAACTGACACAGAGGGAGGAAATGGGAGACTGAGCCGAGCTCGGTGCCAACACCCCTGTGTAAGCCCAGAGTCCAGGGACAGCCCTTTACAGTAGCTTCCTTACCTCCAGGGAGCCCGTCTCGAATGAGACCACAGACAAGAAGCACTGCATGAAGACCTGAGCCGTGTTTATGCAGCCAGAAATATGTTTGGCTGCAAAGTCAACGGTACAAAAAGGATGGTCGAGTGGTGTGGGTAAGGGACACACAGAGCAGGAGTCTCCGAAAGGAAGTCCCAGCAGTGGGAGCCTCCTGCCATGCACGTGGGCACACATTACCTCAGAGGAGGCAGGCTTGCAATATCCAGCCCCGAAGACCAGGTTTTCCAGAGAAATGATAGACGGCTCTGGTCCCGTGTCTGCTCCACCTTTGCCAAGCCAGGAACCCCTTCCTGGGCGAGTGAAGCTAAAAGGAAGAAAATCAAAGAGAGAGAGAAAAAGGATACAATGAGAGTAGTGGGGCCAGGCTCTCAGGCTCTTTTGAGGGTGTCCCTGGGGAGTCGGTGAGAAGGAGTAGTTCGCCCCACCGGGGAAGCTAGGTGGACAGAACTTGCTGAAATGTTGAGACAACCGTGGGGTATATATGGTGCATAGGTTGGGGATTTGGAGACACACGATTAGAAATGTCTTTCCTAAAATGTCAGCAGCTTGTAGAGGCACTGAGGCAGAGCACTGAGGTTCCATCAATGGGGGCGGGGATGGGGAGGCAGGAATTGGCATGGTCCCCAGATGGGACATCGCCTGAATCTTTTATCTGCTCCCTACAGTGGTGTTTAACCCAGAGCGAGCTCCTGTGGGAGAACACAGAGCCCCGTCTACCTCCATGCCTAGCGCAAGAATCTAGCAGAATGCCAAGGGCTGCGAGGATTGTAAAATACCCACTTGACCGATGCTGCTGGGAATACTGTACTTCGCTGGCCCAACTGACAAGCACACAGATCCTGTGGAGCTCTGAGATTCACCGGACAGGTCAACTGCCACAGTGAGGTGGCCACTGTCAACCTCAACCTGGGGGGATTAGCAGCAGCGATGGGCTAGCCACATTTATCTTATTCAGATTTACATTTATTTTATTTGGATCTCTCCTACCTTCCCCTGTTTGATTTTCATCAACAAGCCTATCGGCAACATCCGCACATACTCGTTTTTCCCTTACTTTTGGATCTCTTCTATTAGCTATGATCACGGCTAATTGTTTCGCCTGATTAGAATTAGTATCACATGGGCATTTCTTACGTCTCTGATGACAAAGAAGTTAGGGACAATAAATAGCCATTGGATATCATCCTCACTGAGGCTGCACAATCTAAAAGATTCAAATCCTTGCTTGAAATACAGGCAGGGAATGTTAACACTGTATTTATGTTTAACACATTTATTGAAATGCTCATTAGTATCATGCCACATGCAGGCAGGATGTTGGGTGTTTTGCTGGTTAGAGGAGTAAGATGCAATGCTCTCCTTAAAGACACACTGGTCCAGAGAGGGAGGCACGGTCACTATGAACACCAGCAATAGCAGCTAACATCATGTGCCTAACTAAATGTCACTTCTCTTAAGCTAATCCGTTAGCATGGCCCACCAATGGTGATTATCAAAACAAGATGTAAAACAACGGGGCAAGAGCTGGGCCAGCACGTAGGACAGATAACTTACAGAGCAAACTTGGTAAAAAGGAAACACAGAGATGACACTCCAGCAGAGTGCCCAGATGGCACAGAGGCAGGCGACAAAGCCAATCTGCCAGGTTCAAGTCCCAGCAGTGCTGCTGATGTCTTGGCCATAACTATAAGAAACATTTTTCTTTCTTTTATTTTTAAATGTTTTCTATTTATCTTTACGTCTTTATTTATTGTAGAAGCAAAGAGACAGAAAGCAAAGCAGAGACAGTTCCCTTCTGTTGCTTCACTCCCCAATTGCAGCAGCACAGGCTGGGCTGGAGCCAGGGCTAGGAGCCCAGGACTCAACCCAGGCGGCCGAAATTCAGCTCCTTGCTTGTTACTCCCACCTCCCAGAGGCTACATTATCAGGAAGCTGGAAGCAAGAACCAGAGCTAAGTAGCCAACCCAAGTACTCTGATTTGAGACTTATGGGACTTGGCAGGTGGGGAGGGGCTGTTTATCGGCAGCTTAACCTCAGGGCCAAATGCCCACCTCAAGAGGAGGCCAAGTTTTCTGACTTCCTGTTGCCTATTTCTTCATTTGTCAGACGTGGTAACATTATCATTTTAACTGGGGGGGGGTCACTGCAAGGATTCCCCAAGATTAACCAAGCACAGCTTTATGTATAGTGAGAAATTGGTCATGACTCAACAGTACCTAGCATCAGTTGTTTGTAATGTCACAAACAAAATAAAAACATCTTTATGACATGTAAGAGGGGCTCTTCAAAAAGTTCATAGAAAATGTGTTACACACACACAGCATAGCTTTTGGTCCCCAATTCCATTTTCCACAAACTTTTTGAAGCCCCTTCATATACAGCCATTAAAGCTGGATGTCATCACCCCATTTTATTCAGGTTATTTGAAGCAATTCTGCTGCCTAGCAAGCAGATGGGGAGCAAAGCCATCCCAGGAGAAGGATGGAGCGTGTGTGAGAACAGACGCCAGCGACACATTCAGAGGACAAGCTGCAAAGTGGCAGCTGAAACCTTCCCAATTCCTCAAGTATAGGTCTTGCTTAGCTTGTGGTTGGACAGGGAATTCTTAGTGAAATTCAGCTGAACTCATCAGACAGTTAAAATTATTTTCTTGGCTGTGTTTTTGTGAAGATTGCTTTTCGAGGTTAAATTCTAATTACACAACTGCTTCCCAGGGATGGGATTTAATTGTGGAAAAAAAAATGCTTTTCTGCACTAACGAGAGCTGGACCTCTTTGATGAGCATCTGCCTGATCTCCAAGGGCTGCTTTGTCCCCAACCACCGTGGCAGAAACTCTTCCTGCAGGATCCCAACAACAGAGCACTGTTCTGTTTCCACCCCTCCCTGGAGGAGTCCCCGCACTTCTTCAAAGTTTCTGTGTGTGTTCCTCTGCACAGCTGCGGCAGACAACCTGGCCAGACACCGCTCATGTCAGGAGGCTAAGTCTAAGGCACCCCAATCTCCAGTCCTTGCAAGAAGCGTCAGGGCTCCTGGAAGCCAAAGGAGGGACACCTGAACTCCACTGTCCTTCCAAGGCTGGCGACACTTCTCTCTGGTCAGTCCCCAGACCTCGACTCTACAGTGGCTTCAGCTCACTGACCCTGCAGTGGTTGGCAGGGTCTTTGCAAAAATGAGCTCTCATCAGTACTGTTCTAAGGCCTCAAACTCTTGGTGTGACCTTCTTGTATGATGAACAAATCTCTACTCCCTTAGTGTGCCATTACGGAATTTGAAATATGGCTCTGGTTTACCCTTGCTGCTGCCATCTCTAATGCTGTGGAGCACAGTACAAAGAGCACATCCTTAAAAAATACATATAATATTTTTAAATGATATGTTTAAAATGTATATATTTACATATTTGTGTATATATTCACATATATTTATTATATTTATATAGATATAAAAATACTGTATATGAATATAAGTATGTTTATAAATTATGTATTAAAATATATTTAGATATTTAAGTATATAACATATATTATAAAATATATATATTACATTACATATTATATATTATATGTATAATATAAATTATACATTTTAAATTATAAATTTTAAATTATATATTATCTATCATATTATATTGTATATAATATATAATAAATTATATATTATTATATATAATAAATCCACATTTAAATATATATTCTATATTTATACATTTATATAACATATAAATATATAAAACAATATAATTTATATATTTATATTATTATATTTATATAATTATATTATATTATTATTTATAAATTTATAAATATATACATATATAATATATAAATATAGAATATATAAATATTTAATATATAATATATTATATATATTTATATTTTATTATTTTTTATTGGAAAGGCGGATATACAGAGAGGAGAGACAGAGAGAGGAAGATCTTCCGTCCAATGATTCACTCCCCAAGTGAGCCGCAACGGCCGATATATATAAATTTATAAATATATGAATTTACACAATATATATTCAAATATATATTTAAACATATATTTTAGATATGCATATTATATATTTTTATTAAAATAGATATATAGTATACAATATGAGGAGCTCTTCTACATAAAGGTAGATTTACAGAGTTGCCCAATCCAAAGCCAGGAGCTTCTTCCAGGTATCCCACATGGGTACAAGGGCCCAAGGACATGGGCTGCTCCCCATTGCTTTCCCAGTTCATAAGCAAGGAGCTAGATGACAAGTGGAGCAGCCGGGACATGAACTAATACCCATATGGGATGTCAGTGCTGGCAGTAGGAGGATCAGCCTGTTGAGTCACTGTGACAGACTCCCAAAGACCACACCATTTATGAAACACCCCAAATATCATAAGCTTAACCTCCTGTTTCCCATACTGCAGGGCTTTGGATATGGTAGGCACTAAATAAATATTAATCTTTAGAATCTAGTGCCCAGGTTTCGGCATACATCATCTCATTTCATCCTCCTAACATCTCCTGAATGTTCTGAAACCAAAATTGCCCTACTTGAAGCCAGCAGAGCAAGCAAGCAGGGTTTAGAACTCCAAGCTCCACCCACACAGACGTTAAGCCCATGTGTGTAGCCCTACAGTAGACAGGGAGCCACCACACTCTGCAACTCCACTGAGGTGTTGCTCCAAGATGAGCTCAGAGCATGCATCAATTGCTGCCACATCTTGATCCCTGTAAGACCCCAGGCTTAACGGATTCATCTCAGCGCTTCTAGGTTTCACCTTCCCTGCAGAAGGGTCTGCAGCTTAATGATACCACAGCACATCAAGTGCTTTTCCAGCCTGTGCACTGTGAACTCAGCCATCAGCCTTCTTACCTACCTAAGCATCATCCCCCACTGAAAAACACTCCCATGTCCTGTAATGTTAGGTCTTATGTCCAAGGATCCCTAGGTGACAAGCAGTGAGGCCAGACTTAAAATTTAGATGATCGCAACTCCAACGCTCAGCACCCCAGAAATGCCTGAAGGAGTCCAGCCTTTCCTAGCACAGCCTGTCTCCTCCTGTCAGCATCAACACTGGGTGTGATTCCAGGACACAGACTGGTTGACAGTCTTCTCTGTGGAGCATGGGCACGTCACACCCTCACCTCTATGCTGAGAACATTGGCTGTCGGCCTGACCATGAGTAAACCCTAGGAAATGTGCAATGCAAGATGCTAGGACCTGGCTGCTTTCCAGATCCCATTTCCCCTGCAACCCCAAAGTTAGGGCTGCCTCCCTGTTCCCACAGATATGACTCAGAATGTTTTCTGGTCCATAGTCACACACATTTTCCATTACACCTTGAAACTATATCTACTAGATGCTATGCCAACAGCATTTAGTACATGATAATTCCTCATATGCAAATTGCCCTAAAACCCTGGACTGCGTACTCAGGGGTACTTGACACTTCAACCCCATAGTAGGTTCACTGTGTATACCCAAACTGCTCTGAGAGCACAAGCCCACAAGTCACCTCTTCAATGCAAGGGTGATAAAAAGTTTAAGACCTTCCTAGTAGAAGGGGTTCTTCTATCTTTAATTTCCAGTTACCTGAAAGGAACTCAATCAAGCAGGGCACATCCAAGCTTCCCATCAAAGCACTGTAGGGTAGGACCTGTCTGCACTTCGCCTGAAGCGCCAGGTCTGGGTGCTGCTGCCCAGCAATGCCCTTTGCCCCTCACATCCTTGTGCCCCTGGCTCCTGCCATAGGATTCCTGTCTGCCCAAGACCCACTCCTATGCAATGCCACCTTTTCTTCTCTCAAATGCATGTCACCTGGACCTCTGCATTAGCCCTGAGTGGTCTGTCTCCATTTCTGTGTTCTGCTTGCTACGTGTCTGTCACTCTACACATGAAGTTCACTATCTGAGAGTCTGAGCAGCACATGGTGAACTTGGGAGATGAATTCAGGTACTGGGTCAAGATCTCCAATTGCAGCTTCTTCTGGCCACACCACGTGGCTTATTTCAAGTTCTCTCATTTCCTTCTCTCTGGCCTCAGGAAGTAACAGAGGCCTCAGACCAGGAGCAGCACCATCAGTGAGAACCTGAGTTTAACTATCAAGCACTTACACAGAAAAAGGGAAATGGGAGAAGTTTCAGGCACGAAACTCCACATTGTAAGATCCTATCCCTAAATATCTTGCTGCATGAGCTGCAACTTTTGCTTACAGCACATGTGACAGTTTGACATGGTTTCATGGATGTATATGGCCATGCAAGGAATTCTTACAAAGAAGGCTGAGCTCTGTCTGTCTTTCAAAGTATGGAATTCATAAAATGTCAGTAATGCATGGGGTCCTGGAGCTTGTCTGAGGCATTTCACAAAGGTAGAGCCAAAAAGACCATGGACCTGGCTCTGACCAGACAATGAAGAGTTTGATGTTCAAGGACATTAGGCAGCTCTCAAATAAAGGACACTCAGCCAAAAGTGAGGTCAGATGTAGAAATCTCACCCTCCCAGGATGAGCCAGAGCTTAAAGGTGTTCAGTCACCAATATTGTCCCAATACATGATGCATCTACTCTGCCTTGCCTCTTCCATTCCATTCTGTAAGGTCCACAGAACAAGTCTGCTGCCCCAAGTCTGCTGACCTTCTGATCTGTGTTGACTTTCCATGCCAATTCCACGCCTTTCCATCACATGTGGGATGGAAGGAGGGAGTCTCTGTTTCAGAGCTGCTTCCTAATTTCATACCTGATCAGGGGCTGTTGCAGAGCCACCAGGGCAGCGTGGATGGTCATCGAGATCACCGACAGGTGGAAGTAGTCAAACATGACTGGGACCTGGTGGTGCAGGCCTCTCCGGGGGTGGAAATGCAGGCCAAGCGTGCGGCTGCTGATCATCGGGGCCCCAGCCACGTCCCTCAGCCTGGAAGGCAAGCAGATGAGCTCATGTGAGTGACAGCAAACTGCCCCTGCTGTCATCCAAGAGGCATTCCATTTAATCCTACAGTCTGCTGGGTAGAAGTCATCTCACCCATGATTGGCAGATAAGGGAACCAAGGCTCAGAGAGGGAAAGACTCACTAGGTGTCATTGAGCAGCTTAATGGCAGATCTGGGAGTCATGCTCGGCTGTCAAGATCAGACCAGCATTGTGAAGGTGAATCAGTTGCCAAGACTTCTTCCAAGGCTCCTAGCGACACAGCAGAGCCCTGGTCCCCTGGTCCCTTTTCTCTTAATTCTTCTATAGGTTCCTCACATGGCTTCCACAGTGCTGCATGTCCTTGAAAGCCTGTGCTTTCTATTCGATATCTACCAAGTAAGGACAAGGATTTTGGCTCATGCTTTCTATTCCCAATGCATTCCACAGGAGGTCATCAAGGGTCTGAAGCTTAAAATGAGCCACTGACCACATGGGCGGCTCCCAAGTGCAGCTGTTCAGTCATCTCTGGCCACTCGCCTCAAAATCCCCTAGCAAAATGTCATCCCTCTTTACCTGGCACCTGTCTGATCCTTAAGAAATAAAACACCTGGCAGCCCACCCATGGCCCTGGTTACACAACAGACATGACCCAGGAGACCCCAGCATTCATCTCAAGCTCTGGAAACCAATCACCTGGGCTCTGCCAGCTTGGCTGAACCAGAGCGTGAGAAACCTGGCTGCAGCGTCTTCCATGATTACTCTAGAGGCATGTGTTTCTTGCCTCCATGGAGAAAGACACAGAGAGGAGGGTGAGGAGCAGCCTGTAAAGACCCAACCCAATGGGTCCTGCTTCCTTGGCATCCAGGTTACTGGTTGCTAATTAAAAGAGCCAATTAAGTCACTGGACTCCAGCATGACTCCACGCACAGTCTGCAGGTACCAGCCTCCTACTCAATGGGAAATGAGAGGTGGACTGGGGGAAGAAGACTCTTCCCAGTAACTTTCAGGAAGTTGATAACATCGGTACTCCTGTTATTTGTTGAGGCCTTACTACGAATTGGGCATGATGCCTGTCCCCTGCATGGCAAGCAGAGCAAGTGTTTCCCAGTATTGTCCACTTATAGAAATAAAGGCAATACAAGTTAATTAACAAATTCCAAGCCCTAAGGCAAAACCAAACACAGACCAGATTTTTCTGTTTCCAGGTGGTTCTGAGTTATTGCTCACTGTTGCCTGGAACCCATTCAGACACCAGTTCCTATGAATCACAGCAGTATCCTTCGGGCTTAGACAACAGGAGATTAATGACATTTCAGGATAGCAAATCATCCAAAGTGTTATTCAGAATTTAAGCCACATAAATAAGAAGGAAGTAAGAATGAAGGTGCAGGAGAGGAGGAAGTGATGCCTCTTAGCTCTGGTATGGATGGAGACAATTACTGAGGTCCTAGGGATGGGTCCCAATTTAGAAAAGACAGAGATAAACTTTGTAGCATGAAAAGAAGAATACCCATGTTCCTATAAAGGAAGTAAAACAAGCAAAATGTGCATGCATGTGCACACACACACACACACACACACACACACACACTTAGTGAAGGGCGGTGAAAGAGGGGCAAAGAGGACAGCATGAAAGCCCAGTATTGGATCTAAAGATAAAGCCATCACTTAAGAGACTTATCAAAACTGTCACTCAGACTGAGAGCTTTTCTGGGTGGTAGGAAGGCATACAACTGAAGCCAGCTGACGGAATTTACACAAGGATACACTGCTCCTCCAAGTAAAGAAGAATGTTCTGGTTGGAAGAGCTGTTCAGGAGCAAACTGGAATAGGATGAGGAAGCGTGAGCTCCCTGACCCTGAACAAGCAGGTGCTGAGAAGTCTTGGCAGGGCAGCACACTCTAAGGGGCCCCTGGCCACGAGCAGAGCTGCTTAAGCTCTGATCACTGACTTTGGGGACCACATCAAACGCGCTTTGTAGGGAGCAAGGGCTATTCTGTGCAGCATATCTGGATACCACCAAATGGCTCTCCCTGAATGACTCAGGAAACCACCAAATGTCCGAGGTTCAGAAGCATCCACCTGCTTTGAGAACTGCTGCACAAAATGCTCGGTAAGCCAGCCCTGCCACTGGCTGCCCCACGGTCTGCGCAGCATTAGAGAAGCCAGTCAACTCAGTCTCACTGCAAAGCGCAACTTCTGCCCCCAGGATTTGCAGATGCCTTATCATCCTTAAACCTAATTTATGAAAATGAAAAAATATGTCTTCCAATCTTCCCCAGCCTCTGGCTTCCTGCTCATCTAAGCTAATCTTATACTTTATGAAACCCCCGTGCTCTGATTATTATTAAGTGCTTTGTATTACAGGAAGGAAGCAGCACATTAAAGCCTGGCCCCACTTGCACCTAGGAAGCTGCGAACTGGAGGAAGAAACTTCTTCTGCAGGCCATGTGGGAGGGTCTGCCCTGTGGTCTCGCATCACCTTTGTAAAAGAGGGAACAGGTCTGCTTTTTCACATAGATGTCAGCTCTGTAAATGAGGCCACTGAGTTGAGTTGCAGATCAGAGCAGCTCTGCTGTTTCAGAGCTGTGATTTCAGGGCCATCGGCGCTGGAGTCCACGCACTCTGTCTGTGCCCACCATCTATGCGCTGGAAGGGTGTCACTTCCTGTGCTGGCTAGGGCTTTCCACTAAAGGCGTTTGGGTAACTGGCTAAGTTTTAACTCTGTGGCCCTGTAGAAATGAGGCATGGATAACTTTCTCTGAAGAAAAACGGAATGAGGGGTGGGGAGGGGTGTTGAAGGGAGGAGTGGCTTCTGAGAGCGATGGACTTGGGGATGTCAGCTCTGACTCAGCCTGAGTTCATTGTGGCGGTACTACAATGATCCCGTAGAAGGCACAGGATCCCACCAAGCAGGAAGCAGATGTGCGGAGAGGAGTGGTTGCACAGAGGTGCCAGGGCTCTGGTAAAGGCAAGGATGAGATTTTGTGCAAAATACAAAATAAATAGATAGGCAGATAAACAGGTATGTATATATATATTTCCCCCTCATAGATAAACTGTATAATGGAGACTAGCATGCCAGAAAATATGCATCTCTACTCCCATTTTAAAAAAAAAACAAGGCCTCCCAGTCAAACTGTTAAACATACCTTGACTATTTGATACTAGATTTTCTACCATTGCTTACACCTACAATGCCATGACACATGTAAATAACAGAATATTGGACTTGTGACTTCTGCTACTACTGTGAATTATACTACCGTAATATTATAGGAGAAAATGGGGTGAGGGAATGTGGATAAAGGGGAGGGGGAACTCCTTATGCCTACAAAACTCTATCATGGAAAATAATGACAATAAAAAAAGAAACAAGACAAGGCGAGGAACCCCAGAGGCTGAGCCCTGACAGTGGCAGAGGCACCATCCAAAGGCAGGCAGGCAGTGTGGCATGAGCAGGTGTCCACTGACAACGGATCTCTAACACCTCGCAGAAGCCCAGCCTTGGTACAGGCACCCTCCAGTACAACTTCCTGACATTGCAACTCCCTACAACCATTAGACAGATTCAGGAATGGGGCAGTGAAGGAGCACTTCCCACGACCAGATGGGAGGATCTGCTCCCTGACATCAGCAAGGCAGCTTCCTGCCCCAATTCTCCAAATGAAAGGAGAGAGTGCTTGCTGAAGAGGTTGCACAGACCAGTCATAAGGATCATTTGAATTCAGAGTGGCCCAAGTGTGCCAAGAGGCTGGTCACAGAACAGAGCAGAGAGGGGCTTCCTTGCCCCTCCCCAGCCAAAGCACAAGCATCTACAGATAGCTTTCCCTGCACCCTCTACAACTGTGCCAAGGCCCTCTGGACAGAAGCTGTGGGTGACAAGAATGGCCCAAGGGAGAGAGAGCAGCTTTGGGCAGGTGGCATCCGCCTGATTGCCTGTGACTGGGTTCCTTAGGAAAGTATCAGGTTCCCCAAAGCCTCCTCCAAGGACTGTCACCAGTGACATAACCATCATGTGTCAGAGGCATCAACATAGGATGGGGCCAGGTGGGGCAGGAGGAGGGCTCCCCAGGGTTCTTTGCCAAGGTCACTCCAAGGATAGTTCCTCAGCATCTACAAGATAACTGTGAAAGGTTCCCAGAAAAGGGAATCACAAGACAAGTCAATAGTGGTGCAAAAATCAAACCAATGATTTGATTTTCTTCACTCATTCATTTTCGTGATCCTCTGTAACAAATGAAGACCCTGCTTACAAAAGAACCAATCAAACAGAACTTGCCCCTTCTTCCATTTCTCCCTCATCTTAGGCCACAGTGAGAACAAGGTAAATGGAGAAATACCAGATCCTTCCGATGTGTGGTGTCTGCACTGGGGGGTTCCTAGCCTGAGAAAGCTTGCATCTGTGAGTAGGGTGGGAAAGGGAAGCAATGGAAAAAGTTATAAATTTATCTAGAGTTTACATAGTTTTGAAATTATATTTCACGGGGCTTCTTAATCCCTTAAGAAAAAGGATTCATTGATCACCTGAAAGAGATCTGAAAAGCTGATTGGCTTTTCCACGGGGAATGAAGAGGCCACAGAATGAACCTAAAGGCAGCCATTTTGTACAGGATTAACTTCTTGCTTATTTAATCACAGGGTTGTGCCTAAATGGATTTTCTTTTCAGAGAGTTGAAAGTTGGTGTCAGATATTTAGCACAAAGTGCAGAATTCCACAAGAATCTTTTGATTCAAAAGGGGGCTTTGAAGTATGTTTTCTTGTAGAGTCACACGTGGAAAACCCTCAGTGAACACCACTTTGGAAATCTGTGGAGGAGTCAGACATGAGAGCACGCCAGTGGATCAAGCCTGTGACACATAATTGAGATGCACTATGGCTTGGATCTTGAATGTGCCAATATTCCTGTGTCAGAAACTCAAATCCCCAACGTGTTGACAGGTAGAATGTTCAAGAGAGCACAAGGCCATGAGGGTTCTATGCTGTTATCTCAGGAGCAAGGTTTTGACAGAATGAGTTTGACACTGGCTTTGCTGCCCCTCCACCCACCATGAGGGCATGTGGCAGATAGCCTTCACCAGATGTGTACAGCAGTACCCGGACTTTCAGTGTGCAGCCACTCAGTTTGTAAGACCTGCTGCTCTAGTCTCTGATATTTTACTATGGAAACATACAGGGACTTGGAGAAGCTACCTGCCTACATGATCCATGTCCCACTGAGCTGTAACTATGGAAAGACATTTCTGAGAGGCATTCCTGAGGCTGTGGCCAGGAGGACAACCCAGGAGTAGGGAGGCCAGGTGACACCCCAGCAGTGGCGAGGCCAGGAGGACAACCCAGGAGTAGGGAGGCCAGGTGACACCCCAGCAGTGGCGAGGCCAGGAGGACACCCCAGCAGTGGGAAGGCCAGGACACCCCAGCAGTGGGAAGGCCAGGAGGATACCGCAGGAATGGTAAGGCCAAGAGGACACACCAGCAGTGGCCAGGAGGACACCCCAGCAGTGGCGAGACCAGGAGGACACCCTAGCAGTGGGAAGGCCAGGTGACACCCCAGCAGTGGGGAGGCCAGGTGACACCTCAGCAGTGGCGAGGCCAGGAGGACACCCCAGCAGTGGGAAGGCCAGGACACCCCAGCAGTGGCGAGGCCAGGAGGACACCCAGCAGTGGCGAGGCCAGGAGGACACTCCAGGAATGGCGAGGCCAGGAGGACACCCCAGCAATGGTGAGACCAGGAGGACACCCCAGCAGTGGGAAGACCAGGACACTCCAGGAGTGGGGAGGCCAGGAGGACACCCCAGGAATGGGGAGGCCAGAATGACACCCCAGCAGTGGGGAGGCCAGGACACCCCAGGAGTGGCGAGGCCAGGAGGACAACCCAGGAGTGGGGAGGCCAGGAGGACACCCCAGGAATGGAGAGGCCAGGAGGACACCCCAGCAATGGTGAGACCAGGAGGACACCCCAGCAGTGGGAAGACCAGGACACCCCAGGAGTGGGGAGGCCAGGAGGACACCCAGCAGTGGCGAGGCCAGGAGGACACCCCAGGAATGGGGAGGCCAGGATGACACCCCAGCAATGGGAAGGCCAGGACACCCCAGCAGTGGTGAGGCCAGGAGGACACCCCAGCAGTGGGAAGGCCAGGACACCCCAGCAGTGGCGAGGCCAGGAGGAGACCGCAGCAGTGGGAAGGCCAGGACACCCCAGCAGTGGCGAGGCCAGGAGGACACCCCAGCAGTGGGAAGGCCAGGACACCTCAGCAGTGGGGAGGCCAGGAGGACACCCCAGCAGTGGGAGCCAGGAGGACACCCCAGCAGTGGGGAGGCCAGGACACCCCAGCAGTGGCGAGGCCAGGACACCCGAGGCGTGGGGAGGATGGTGGGACCTCCTGCTACCACAGTCCAGGGCCTCCAGGACACGCACTGCTGCTCACTGTCTGTGAAGTGCAAGTCCACCTTGAGCTGGAAGTCGACTTCACTGAGCGCATCCTCTACCTGCAAGAGAGACAAAATCCAAGGCATGTTGTGAGTCAATGCTTGTCCAACTGAAATGTTCCTCTGGTCTACTTCACATAGAATGGACAAGTAATATCCTTTATACTTCAGTCAAATTTCCATGTGGGTTCCATGGAACTCCAGATGAAATGCCTATATGAGAACACTATATGGAAAACGGAAGGAAACCATGCAGCCAGTTTGGGAAGCACTACATTGCAGAAAATGTTTAAGCTTCTTTTTTTGAAATACTTCTGACATCCTCATTTCCTAAACAGACTTGATCTGGAATAAAAACTGGAGCAAGAACGCAGTGTTCTCAAGTCCTTGCTCTGAGAAGTACAGACTAGGGACCTTGCAGCAGAACCCTGCCTGGCTGCTGGTACAGACAGAGTTAACACCAGCCCCATGGCAGGTGCATTTGCAGGTGCAATTGGACAATCAGGAAACCAAGACACCGTGCTGGCTCAGCTTCCAAAGCCAGTGGTCCTCGACTCTGTTCTGAGACCCACTAAGAGACTAACAGGATGATGACTGCTTATGAAGGTCTACATTATTCTAGTAACATCGGGAAAATCTGACGGGCGGTGTGAGTTTGGAGGCGGGGAAATCCCTGCCTATACAAAACTGTACCACATAATTCAGCATTCAAAATAAAAATATATTAAAAAAAGAACCACTAGTATTTCATGTTCTATGCATGGTTATACTCAACCTTAACACTAAAAAACAATCTCAAACTCTCTCACATGAACCTAAAGACAGGTTCTTCCCCTGTCTCATCGTAGTCTCAGAGGGAGTGATTTGCTACATGGCAGGTCTCACCACGACCTCCCACAGCTGGGCCACCCAGCATCAGTCCTGCACTTGTGACAGGACTTGGCCCTGACACAGTACCCCATTGCCAGGATGGACACAGTTCTGCTCTTCTCCTGCATTGCAGCCTTTTTACAGCTCCTGCTACAGGTGCTTGCTTCATGATTATAACCTGGGAGCCCATGAGCTGAGCGTTTTCTGCAGATGTGTTTCGTTTAGTCCCCATAGTATCTTTAAAATGCTTTGAACAATAGCACCATTTAGAATTCAGGCAAGTTCACAGTTGTATTATAAGTTTCAAGCTTCTATTAAAAAATATGGATCTGAGAATGCAGGGATGGTATTTGTTAGCTATGGTTTTTATCTGGCAGTTACTCTCGCATGTACCACGGCTCACCACATTCAGCAGCATTACCCGTCAGACCAGCAGTGATGCCCCTGGCTGTCTTCTGGCCTGCTGGCCGCACAATCTGCATTGCCTTCAGGAAAAACATGCCTTTCCTTCCCTGCACCCCCAGCTCCAGAGAGAGACCCCGGCAGCACGGTTATAATCAATGCATCTCTGGGAGACAGTCAAGCTCTTCCTCTGTCCCCTCTTTTTCCTCGTTTTCATTTCTTCCCCAGGATGAGCTCCTTCAGGGACGGAAATCTCCCCAACAAAGGGCTCCCTGGAAACATCTCTCTGCTTCTGCATAATTTAGGCAGAGACATATGGACGAGATTTATCTTTAGGTCCTTGCGGTTTAAAACTTGTTGCAAAAATGTGTTTAGAAGTTAACATTTGGCTGAGTCCACCGGCTATAAATAATCCTCTTCTAGCTTTGTTTTGCATAATCACAAAGCTCACTTCACACATACACACACGGAAAGCAATGCAGCATGTTGTCCCCAGAGGCTGGGAAGTGAGACTGGCCAAGGAGGTCATCCCCAAGAGCACGCAGCGTCTGGGAAGGAGGTCCGGGTGCGAGCCAAGAGAACCACCGCCAGCCTGCACGAGGTGTGGATCCATGGGGCAGTCCGGTCTCTGCATATATCTTCCCTTCACAAGACTCCACAATGAAAAGCATGGTCTTTTCTAACCATTCATTCCATGGCTGGCTGTTGCCAATCTTTGCACACATATACAGGTATACATGCATGACACATGCGTGACTTCCCTTTATCCTGCCTTACCACGCACAAACAACCTCCCCTCTCAAAAGTCACTTCAGTAGCACTAGGAAGCCTTGTATATTAAGAAAAAAAAAAACAATAACTAGAGTTACTATGTGACAGGGACAGTACTGCACAAACACGATCTTATTTAATGTGGATATGACTCTGAATTCAGAAATATTGTATCACGGTTTCAAATGAAGGCAGAAAGGCAGAGCAAACTCTAAGCTGGGCTGGTCGGTGAGCCCTAGACCCTGGATCCCATCAATTGCTATCCATTACTCTGTCGCCAGGGTTCCATCTGTGGTCCTTTTACCCACACAAGTCACACATTGGTTGGTTTTGGCTGGCTCTCTGGTGTTCTCCTTTCTTCTTCTCTCTTGAGCTCCACTGCAGACAGCCAGCTAAGAATCAGAGACCATGGACACAAATGTTGGCGCTGTCACCGAGCATCTGTGAGACCAAGCTCTCCATTGTTCTCTCTTCTAAAAAACTGGCGTGAAATAAATTGCTTGCCCCGTGGCATTGCTCCTGGATGAACTAGTAAGAAAATGCACACACGGAGTGCTGACGACTCTCAAGCCAGGGGAGTCACGCTTACTGTCTTGACTTGCAACAGACCATAGTGGCAGGCCACATAAGAAACCAGGGCTCCACCAGCTCCGGCATGGGGTCTTGACCTTGTCACACACCCAGTGTGGAAGCCAACCCAGCTCTACTTCTTCCCAAGGAGGTGATTTGGAACAAACATTATCTTTTCTCTAAACCTCTGTTTTCTTACTATAAAAACAGAATCATAAAATCCCCCGTAAAGACATGCAGTGACTCCATAAGAAACGACAAAGCACTCAGTACAGTGTCTGACACACAGCACACCCCATCCCTGGCAAGAAGGCCGTTGGAAGTGTCCTAATGGGCTGAAGTCCGCCAGTCCCCACACAGAGAGCTTCCCCGGTGGCCTCTGGACCATCAAAGACATCTGCAAGCCCTTTCTTTGTTTTGCTAAAATTCTTTGGAGCATAGATAGAGCAGCAAGGACTCAAATCAGGGCACCAATAACCACAGAGCTTGGTAACACAGGCAGCAGTTTATCTTGCCATACCACAGTGCTTGTCCCCTCGTCAAGCTTATTTCACGGCAAAACTTTAAAATCAACTCACCTTAACTTCCCTTTGCACAGAGTTCTTCCTTCCAATCTTATCTGGTGGCCAGGTCTGCAGGCTGCAGCTGGCTTCCTGCAGCGTGCCCTTCCAGGCCCTGTTGTGCCCATTCAGGAAGACAGCAGTACCCTCCTTGCCCTTGGGCTCCCACTCCATCTCCCTGTTCCCTGCTAGGCTGACCTTTGTAAATCCCAGCACTCCCTTTGCTACATCCCAAAGGAGCTGCTTGCATGGGTAATACATGGTCTTTTTTAGGACCTAAAGGGCATTCATGCCGGCTGGCTCTTGCCCTTCCTTCCTAGCTTTGTTCAATGCCCCTTAGTAAGGGCGATCTCCTCTCCAAATCCTCCCTCCGTTGCTTTTCCCAGGTTTGCTATAATCTGTCTCTTCAGAGCCTCCTGAATGCCACTCCACCCAGGCCTCCTTACCAAGACTCTGAATCATTCACCCTTCTAACAGAAAGGTCTGAGTGGGGCAGACCAGTAGCCTCATCAGAACCAGTCCTGCCAGGGGAGTAGGACCATAAGGCACTGAGGTATGTCACTCTGGGAAATGTTTCTCCTGGTTAAACCTCGAAAGATGCAACTGCAAGTTTAAAAGAAATGGGGGGACGGAGCTTTCGTGGGCAACTGACAAAGTTTATTTCCAGGGTTCCAATTTTTATACACTCTGCAAAACAGTAGCTCAAACACAACTCAGACCTAGGCCATGTCTGTAAGCAAAGAGTTCAGGAAAGCTGGCAAGGCACTTTGGTCAAAGCACGACTGAAATGGGGATTAGAGAATCAATACTGTCTGTCCTAGGCTTGCTGACTAGACAGAGCACAGATGCTCACCTTTCATCAAGGAAAGCACAAAACACTCCTAAGGATGCACTGGGGGCAGCACGCATGCTGCGCGAGGGGCCCTTAGCCTCCTCTGCCTGCAGCCTCTCCTCAACAGGTCCCAACCTTGCATCTGTCACCCCCCAGCTTAGCTTTTTGAATGAGTTCCAACAGCAACTTTTCTCAGAAAGTTCTTTTGGAGATAACCTGCTCCTTGTCTGGCTCAAAGTTCAGGCACCTTGATGAAAATACAAATTCTCTTCGATGGCCGGGTGCGTGGGATGCCTCCAGCCCAGGCCTAGAGTCAGGCTGTGCACACGGCACTACTGTGCACACGGCACTACTGTGCAAGCTTCCTTGTGCTCCCTCCCTTTTTTGGTCCCCCATTCTGGATGAACCTACAGCTACCTTTTTACCCTTTACTGTTCTGTGTCTTTTATAAGACTCCCAGAATCACCTGTGAAATTTATGCAGAGTATGCAAATAAAAATATCTGCACTGCTTGTAGGCTCACCATGTGCACCTGTTGAGAAAACACTTCATCAAGTGATTAGTTCTGTACTCTCTTTAACTTGTGTGAAACCTGGTTGCAGAGGCTACAACAATGAATGCCCTACCGCATATAGAATAGTGTGCCTGGTGGCTAAGAGGCCATACCATCAATGCCTCTTGTCCACAGGGCAGGCTGTGTGCCTTTGAGAACACAGTGCCAGGCCTTTTATAGGCATTCTTTTTGTTGTTGTTGTTGTTATTTTTTTATTGGAAAGGCGGATATACACAGAGGAGAGACAGAGAGGAAGATCTTCCGTCCGATGATTCACTCCCTAAGTGAGTGCAACAGGCCGATGCTATGCCGATCCAAAGCCAGGAGCCTCTTCCGGGTCTCCCACACGGGTGCAGGGTCCCAAAGCTTTGGACCATCCTCGACTGTTCTCCCAGGCCACAGGCGGGGAGCTGGAAGGGAAGCGGGGCTGCCGGGATAGAACCGGTGCCCATATGGGATCCCGGGCGTGCAAGGCGAAGACCTTAACCACTTGCGCCACTGC